ATAATTAATGATTTCTCTCTTGCCTTTTCTCCTAGGATCCCAGATACATGGTCCTCCCTCTTCCTAAGAGTCCCATGAAGTCCCATGTGGACTGATGACTTGGAACAGCCAGAATGCTTGCAGTCCTATTGAGGATAGCAGTGATAAAACTCTACAGACTAATAACTTTGATGGCTGTATTTGCAAGGCGGCTATACTGGACCAAGAGCAGAGGAAAAATAATGGAAGCTGACCTATAGAAAGTATTTCCATGTGTGAGATGGAAATGGAAACAGTAGAACAGCCTGCTAGAATGTGGATTTTAGGGGCAGAATTTCAGTTTGGAAAACTACTCTTTGAAGAATGACTCCCCAAGCAGACCAGAGAATGGGCCAAATCTTACTTTTCACTCCCAAATTCAGGAGATACAGAGATTCATTTGGAAGTATCCTATTTACCTAGGCTTCTTTGCAGCTGGCATCCCATCCTCCAGCAGAATTCCTTTGTCCAGCTTGAGATTGGCATTAGAAGCCATCCAGTTGCTAGGATGAAAGAAAGCTGTCAGGAAGCTACGTTCTCCAAGCAAGAGAAAATCCATTAAGCTTGCCAAGGTAATGTTGAATATTTTCCATTATGGTCACTGACCAGAATTGCCAAGGTTATGTTGTGAACTCAAATATAAACCCATTATCTCTTATGACCTCACCTGCCGATCAAGGGTCAAAGCAGCACTACCTTGCTCATGTTATTCCAAGAAGTATCTCAAGAAAAGGAAGCATCAAATTTGAAGTCTGACCAAAGGATTTCTTTAAATTAGGGACAGGCTCACTATAGTTTAGGCCTCAGTGCTAGCCAGCTGCTGCTTGCATGACCAAGAGCAATGTAGGTGAAGATGTCTAGAGGATGCTGGCTTTATACCCAATTTAAATTCGAGGAAGACTCCATGGCACATCTGAGAGACTAACAATGCGTGGGGATTAGCTACTGTCAAACCCCAGGCCAAAAAAGGATCTTATCTTTTGCCTGAGAATTTGTGGCCTATTCTTCTTATAATTTAAGATGCTATACTATCTGAAGTGTTTCATTAGAGTTCCAAATATCAAACTTTTCCTGAAATGAAGACTCAATTATGGAAACATCATTTCATCAAATAGATTGGAGAACATCGTTCCCGAATTTGATGCCATCCAGATGGCTTTGACCATACTGGCAGGGAATTCTGGAAGTTGTGGTCCAGTATGCTTAGAAGGTACCAGGTTGAAGAAGGCTAGCTTGAAAGATTGTGATGAAATACTACACATCTCTTCTTTCCTTCATTTTTTTTCTTGAATGCACTCCCTTAAATCCTAATTCCCTGCTTTAATTCAAGCTAGGTTAAGTGACCTAAATCGGAACCACAAACAGCAGGTTGAATATCTGCATAGAATAGGGAATATTTCTGGTCCGCACATTCAATGAATGTGTTGGTACAGCAATTGTAAATTGTTAGCACTTGTTTAAAATAAAGATGCCTTCCAGTTCAACTCAATTCCTGATGACTCACACAGACACATCCATGTTGTTTTCTTGGCTACAATATAACTGTGGTTTGCCATTGTCTTCTGAGATGTTCTTTTGACAGCCCAGTCTAATTAACAGCTAACTAGAATTCTCAGGTAGCCCCCCATTCATATACTAAGCTTAACTTTGCTTTCTAGGTGAGCCATGATCAGGTAAATGTTGCCACAGTATAAAATACTCCCTACAAATATAATAATGACACATGACAATAACAGTAGCAATAGACCCGGGTCCACTGTGTCCATCTACCTACAGGGACATTTTTCTCCTACAGCTTCCCCCCACCCTATCTAAAATTCCATTCTACCCCTTCAGGATCTCACTCTTTCATTCTGAGATAGCCCAGTCAATTCTCCAATCTAACTGCTACAGAACAGACTGATCCCTAGTTCAGTCCCTTAATGAGGCTGCTAAGAAGGGGTAAAAAGACCAAATTAAAAGGGAGATTGGGTAATAAAAAAAAAAAGTGGGAAAAATAAATTTATCTGTGTAAAAATCACTGAAGGCAAGATGCAGTTGTCTTTTAATTCAGCAGCCACTCAACAACCACCCCCCAAAAATCTAGAATAAAAACTGGATTAGTTTAGGAATCCCAGTGATAAGAGTTTTATCCTTATTCTTTGGACATTACACATCTCTTGGAGAGGTCTTCTGACCATAAGACTGCATATGATTGAGAAAAAGGTCAGTGACTTTTATTAGATGAAATTTAACTTGCTCTTCAGAGTTTAGGGCTTCATCAGCAACTTGGGCAACATTCTTTTCCCCCTCCTTCTTTCTGCTGCCTTGTTTGAAAAACAAAAACAAGTCAAATATTGCATTCTATATATTCCTTTATCTTGCTAGGAGGAAAACTCCAAGTATTCCCATGGATCCCACGCTTGCTGGGAAATCTGGGAGTCCTTGGCCGAAACATTTACAGAACACTAATTGGGGAAGGAGACCCAGTTTGGTATAAAGGAAGAAGACAAGGGCAAACCAGTTCTGAAAATCTTGCCAAGAAATCTGCACGGACTGTCTAGCCAATTGCCAGGAGTCAAGAATAATTTGAAGGCACACATACACAGAGAGACACAAAATGGGGAAGGCTACTATGCGGTGTTCAGATGGCAGGCTAAATGAAAAAGCCAAGTAAACAAGCACGCACAGTTTACTCTCCATTGTACGGTGCTCTTTAACCATGATTTGCAGCTCATAATGCAGAATTTCCAGAAATCAGGACTTGTACCCAGAAAATCAAAATGCTGGCCAATCCCAAATCGCATAATATGGCAAGCTGTACAGTAAAAGAGCAATGAGCAATGGGAGGTGTAAAAAAAAGTGTGGCTCATCAGCCAAGCCTCTCAGCTTAGTGTGTTGGGCAAACACAAATACCAAGTATAAATCAATTTTACTGTCCTTAAGTTACAGAGACTGGCTGTAAGGCTGATAACAGCAAGTCTTAATCACCCACTCTGCACTCACATACAGATCAACCCCAAAAGGAGTCACTCTTGAATGCAGGAGGATCTATTCCCATGTGAAAGGATTTAAATCCACGGTATTTACAACCAAGATGAACCCTGAACTCTTATTTTCCAGTTCACGCCTTATAATCTGAATTGCCACACTGAATCAACAATATATCCCACCCCCACTCTTTTAGGAAGTAGGATAGTTGCCAAACATTATCTGCTGAGATGAAAAGCAGGAAGAGGAAGAATTTTTTGAGATGCAGGAACTATCTGATTTCAACCCTGCGTAATTCTGACAAATATTCTACCATTATAACATCACCATACTTCCTGATTAGAAAAGAAACCATCTTTCAGTTCAGAAAATCGCCTACTTCAAAAAAGCAAGGACCACCCATCCACCCACACAGACAAACTGACATGCTCCCACAATCCATGTGTTAATACTGCAGCTCTTTTGTTCCAAATAAACTATGTCTTCTGGATTTTCAGAACCAATAATCAAAACATTGTCTTGGAGATGGCTTAGATCCCTAATCTGCCATTTTTTTCCTGTGACTCTTTTGAGCCAGAGTTGTCAGGCAAGTGATTTGTTCTCCCTTATTCCCCAAGAAAACAGCCAACATGTCCCACTGCTAACAGATCAATCTCACTACACCTGATTCATAGATTGTGCTAAACCATAAAGTGGTTTTGTTAGCTAAATTTGAGAGTTTTTGACTCTCAATTCGGATTCAGTCCAGCGGAAGGTTTCAGTTTTTACCATTTTGGTTTAGAGTGATGTGGAAATCTTGTTGTTCTGGGACCTTGAAAGCCATGGTTTATAGCTTGGTAAACTGTACAAGCTTAACCAGTTTCCCTTTTCTCCCTCTCTCCTTTTTTATTAGACACTTTAAAGAAATGGTATCGAAAGAAAGAAAGAAAGAAAGAAAGAAAGAAAGAAAGAAAGAAAGAAAGAAAGAAAGAAAGAACAAATGAAGAGAACAAGGAACTAAAAAATGTCACAGATACT